GTTGGATGTAAAACCTGTGAGCATGTTCTATGTCAACTGTCTTATATAAATGCTAGTCTGAAGATTACAATTGTTAGGGAATTCTCAGCGATCAGGGGGAAACCTTCTCTTTGGGGACTTAAGGACAAACCGATCTCCAGCAAATTACTACAGAAAAGATCAATTCAACCTCTGAAAATGTAGTAAATAATATGAATGGAACGGTCAGAAATTACTTTTGTAAGCGTAATAGAGATCGCTAAGTATAAATGATATAATGTTCTTATTGTGTCATATTCTCCACTAATAGTATCTAGAAGCTGGATGTTTGATCCCAAACTAATTAGAAATGTAACTACACAGTACGTCAAACAATTCAGCATACCGCTCCACTTTAAATAAAAATGCAGAAACTAACTGGGGGCTTTTTGTATCGCACCAGCACTTTATTCAATATTATCACATTTTTCATCACTTTGTTGGGAGTTGCAGCCTACGCAGTGTTAGTAGATCAATTAACTTTGCTATTCTCAAATAATTCATTAGTTGTCATTATTGTCGGATTACATTAATTCTATATTTGAGGATGTTAACATTTTGTCATGATTGTTATTTTTTATAGCTGTAGTCCTTGTGTGTGTTTGAGGGTCAGTGTAATAATAATGTACTATTAAATTATATACAATAGTCATATGGTCAGGAGAGGCCGTAACCATCCTTCCTCCACCTCTCCTACAAACACATTTTAGCCCCAGGTTTGTTTGGCCCCTTATTTTGGAACTATGAACGCAATATCCACCAAAACACACATACATACACATACATCTCTCCAGACTATTTCCTGACACTAAAGCCATTGACAAGGTGTCCTCTGGGTTTGGTTGGAAGGTCTGTGTTGCTCTCCGAGGTGTTTCAATCATCATGTCCACTCTCATGCAATCCAGAGCACAACATACAGCCTTACAGGTCACCACATGTCTGTGTTCACACCTACGGCAGCAATAAATTAATAAATACCTTATTACTAAGCATGCACCATCTTGTGAGAGGACTGGTTGCACTGTGTTCAAAACCAACACTTTCAGTTTGTAATTCACACACACACAGTGGTCTATAGTTTAAGAGAACTGGCGGTTCTTGATATGTCAAAATTGAAACATCACTATATAATCAACGGCTCCAAATTGTTTACCATTTATTTGATGAAGCTTTGTTGAGAGTTTAAAAGTCCTTATTTAACGCTTATTATTATTATGTGCAGATGATGATGACGACGATGACGACGATGGGCCCTATCACAAGGGCTCTGTGTGCTCATATTGTGAATTCTGTGAGGTAGGTTTGAAATGATCAAGATAAATTAGTTATTAAAGCTAAATCAGAAAACGTGAGACCTTTCCACAAGGATGAGATGTGAAATCCTAACTTTAAACATAACCATGTTCAGTGAAATATGAAGAGCAGCTTTACTTGTATCAGCTGATTGCGCTGTGAAATGGAAGTAGTCCACGCATGCATCCAATCCAATCCTGTTGTTTCTTTTACATAACATTCTCTCCAACTCTCCTGGTTACTTACTAACTAAATGTATCTTCTTACAGCACTGTGACAGCTGTGACAAATGTCCTTGTGAAAAAGAAGACGAATCTGAACACTGTGATGACTGCAAGGTGAGAAAATACACATTATGGGACATTTGACTTCACCTCATATCATCTGGTCTCCTCTCATCTTCAACCGCTTATCCGGGGTCGGGCCGCGGGGCCAACAGCTCCAGCAGGGGACCCAAAACGTCCATTTTCCGGGCCACACCAGCTCTGACTGGGGGGACCTAAGGCCTTTCCAGGCCCGCGTGCAGATGTATTTTAGACTCCTGACTGTCAGGTTTTGTTCACGGACGATGCCGGAGAATCCGCGGCACAAACCAAACAATCTAGCCGACGAGACTCAACCAGCATGACTCATCGACGTAGACAACAAACCTACAGAGACACCTGCTTTAAATACACTGGGAAAGTGCAGGTTATTGGACACAGGAGGAAACAATAAGGAAATGACCTGGAACTAGTGTAAGTGGCGCTGTGATAAGAGCTGTTTACATTCTCTAACACTAAGGGAAGGAGCTTCAATGCTTCCCTACGTAACTCCTTTAGCACAGGAACCACTGGACCGTCCTCTACAACAGGAGATAATGAGAGATAAAGACTGATGTCTCACCAGAAAATAGCGAGATAACTAGGAAACTTCAAAATACAGCAGGAAATGAAGCCACACCGGGACACTGACTGTCACCATGCAGCAGTGCACCCAAACCCATCAGCTGTCCCCAGAAGTGGTGATAGGAGGCAGAGTAGGGGGGCTTCACGCCCCTACGACCAGCCCTACTGTATTTTTTAGTTACTAGCTATGAAGAAACGTAGACACAGACATCATCAGGCCTACACGTATTTCACCAACAAGAGTTACTTATAGGTAATTGATCTCTCCTTTAAGGTTTTTTAAATGACCAAAATCATAAAGTACATTACAGCTTTTTCTTTTCCATATGGCTAAATAGACCAGATCGAACAGAAAGGAGTATTCACTTCAACATCACATCTTCTAGCACCAAACGTTACTCATATCTTTGAGTTTCTCTTTTCTTTACTAATTACTTTCCTGTTCACAGATGTGCAGTTACTGCCACGTGTGTCCTGCTTGCAGAACTCTTTGCCAGCCCGGTGAGTAAATGCAGAGCTGCCACAGCGTCACATCCGTAAAGGAAAGACTCATTTCACTTGATTCATCCTGATAGTTTAAGCAAACCAGAGAAAAATCTAAATATTTGTCAACCAAATTGGGGCATCTTCTTTCCCTCCACAATGAGAAGACATCCTTACATTACAGGTCATTGAGCTGACGCTTTTATCCAAAGCGACTTCAATTTCATTTTGACCTATTTAAGTTTTACATTTTGCCCACGGAGCAATCAGGGGTTAGGTGTCTTGCTCAGGGACACTTTGACATGGGACATGGAGCAGCCGGGGTTCTAACAGCACACCCTCTACTCCATGCGCCACAAATTCAAAGAAAATAACGGATACAGAAGGATTTTTTTTTCTCATTTTATGGACCAGGGTACAAAGGAGAAAGGTTGGATTTGGTTGTTTGTTGACTCACACTCATTCGCCGTTTTTCTTTAGGGGGTTTTCTTGATGAAGTGACTGGATCAATCTATAAGTAAGTGCATAGTTACATTGAACACTATTGAGAAACTACGGTCTGTGATCTGTCTGTCTCTCTATCCACAGGACTGTAGCGGACGTCTTTGATGATGACGAAGATGAAAACTGAGCCCTTATTTGTTGCCACCGTGTGGCCGAACTAACATGTTTTTCCTCACTTCTGATTTTCATTTGTCATTTTCGTCTTTTTCCTTGACAACATTTAACATTGCTCAACATGATGAATAGAAAATTGTTAAAGGACTAACTAAATATATTTGTGTACTTTTGTGAGCTGACAAGTCGTACTATACTTTTAAGGAAACTGAACTATTCAAAGACATTTGGAAAATGTTAAATAAAAAAGAGGGGACATTTTCACGAATGATTTATTGCTTTGAGAGTGCACACTAGACTGAATCAATGAAAAAGAGCTAGTCTTTTAAGCACAGTAAAAGACAGGCTTTTGGATGGACTCAGGTGAGACATGAGTCCTAAAACTCTGACGGCTTGAAGTTTTCAGAATTTACTTATATTTTAACATCAACGGCTGGCACAGCCGCATGGACACTCATGTCTTACGCTTACATTTGGGCATAGTTGTAACTCCTTTGATTGTGTTTGTTAAGAAAAATAGAACATAACCAAAATAAGAATGAAATGAACACCATTAAGATAGGAGTGCATTCATTCACTTTGAAATAACACATTTAATATAAAAAAACAATTCATACGAAAGCTTTGGCAACAAATTATTTAAGTCACACATATGATAGTATGAATACACTCCCCCTTAAAGCATTATAATCAGTTACAACAATGTCAGTTACAACTCTCAAGGCTCTTTTAAGATGGGTTGAATGCAGTGGTGGAAATTTTTACGATTGAACATTTGCACAAAATTAGTTGTAAATAAAAGTTTCACAATCTCTATATATAACAAAACATTTATTTATGATTATTTGTTATTTATTACTTATTTCTGTCCTTCTGAGTGGCAAACATCTCAACGACCTTCTTATTAAAGTCATGAATGTCTGTGACAATAGAACGCGGAAGCTTGGCTGAAAACCCGTGTTGCCCCAGGCTGAGTCTATTCAAAGACGCTGATTGGCAATGTTGTATTTTTCAAATATTACTGGTAACTTTCCATATTTGAAAAACCCAAATATTGACATGTTTTATAATTTCATATTATTTTTCATTTAACAATTTGACACAGAAGTACTAAAATTTACAGTAAATGATTACAATTTCAGAAATAAAATGAATACAAATTTAGGTGTTATCATGGATGGCAACGTTTATGCCGATCAGCATCAGCTACAACAGCTTGCCCTTCCACCTGTAGTTTCCTCTGAGTGATGATCTAATCATGGAGCCTCTTGGGTCTTTGAGGTGTATAATAGCGGGGGGGGCTCTCCATTCCTACTCTGACTCGGAGCCTCCTCCCTCCTTTATTTCACATGTGAGAGTCATCGTCTCTCTGGCCAGAGTCCTATTCACAAATACTATTTCTACCTCTTTTGCTCCATATCAACCATCAATTTAGTTCTTTACCGGCTGTCCAATTTGATAAATATAACTTTCTCAAAGATTATTCAGAGGAACCCATCACAATGACAATTTTAAAGCCTGCAGCTCTTTAAAAACGACAGTTTAGTTATTTCTTTGCTTAACTAAATCACCTAATTAAATGATACAAGGCAATTATAATTTAAGATAAAGTTGTAGACGGAAGATGTCTGTAATAAATAATAAAAAGTAATGAGTACATTTCCCCTAAAGGGGGCGCCACACTCTGCTGATAAGTCTTATCCATCCATTCAACTAATGATGAATGAACTAATTTCTAATTAGTCAATATGGTTAAAAACAGGAAGGTTTGTCTTGTCATGTTAATGTTCTTTTTGTAATCAGTTCATATTTCTTTGTTTTATTTCTATGTGATTTATCAATATTATCTGAGAAATGATGCTTTAAAACAAAGCTCGGCTAAAGGCAGCAACAAACAGAAAAGTCTTTAATCTGGATTTAAAGGTGCTGAGCGGCTGCAGACCTGCAGCTTTCTGGGACTTTGTTCCAGATATGAGGAGCAGAAAAACTGAACGCTGCTTCTTCACGTTTAGTTCTCACTCCGGGAACAGAAAGTAGACCCGTACCAGACGACCGGAGGGTTCGTGGTGTTGAGAGGATAGCATCATATGCAAAATTGATACAGTTGTTAGATGACTTTTTAAGGACAAGGACTATTAAGGGTTTTGGATAGGACAATGGGACACATATAACCGAAGTGCCTATGTTGCTCCACGACTCGTGAACGCCGGAGTTCCCCCAGCTGCCTGACCCTCGTCCCCTGGTCTTCCCCCCCTCATCCTGTTGTCCGTCCTGCCCGCCCTTGTGTATTTTAGGTCCGTCTGGGATCCGTCCCTTAACGAGGGTACTGTCACGGTTTGGGTTTGTTTCCTGTTTTATTTTGTAGTTTCCTGCCCCTTGTGTTCCTGGGTTAACTTCACCTCCTGCCTTGTCCTGTCATTACATGACCTGACATGACATGACATGACATGACATTACATGTCATTACATGACATGACATGGCATTACATGACATGTCATTACATGACATTACATTACATAACATGTCATTACATGACATGACATGACATGGCATGACATGACATGACATTACATTACATGTCATTACATGACATGACATGGCATTACATAACATGTCATGACATGACATGTCATTACATTACATTACAGGTCATTTAGCAGACGCTTTTATCCAAAGCGACTTACATCACACTTTAAACCCGTGGCCTTTTACATTTTTGCCCAGGGAGCAATTAGGGGTTAGGTGTCTTGCTCAGGGACACTTTGACTTGAGACACGGGGCAGCCGGGACTCAAACCTGTCATCGCCTATTATTGTCTGAATGTTCAACCCTGAATGTTGAATCCTGAATGTTCTACCCTCAATGTCTTGTCCTGTTCCTGATTCCTGTCTGCGTTTTGCCTTTTTTAAAATTTTGACTATTAAAGTCCTTTTTTGTTTTCAACTCGCTTTCAACCCGCTCACTCCACTCCTCCTAGCACACAGAGAGGGACAGAGACGTCTTCAGGAGCTCCGCTCCAGGACGAGCAGGTCCCGTGTAGCTTGAAGATCTACAGTGGTCCCCTTTTAGCAGAGTCTAAAATGATCTTCGGTATTCCCGAGCCCGAGATAAGATAAACTTTATTGGGATATAAAATACGTTCCAGGTGGTATTTGCTATAACTAGAATAGCATCAGATCAGGAACTCGCGTTACAGTGGCAGTTCAGAAGGTATCAGCAGATCAGAAATGTTTTTTGGCCCTAAACCATTCAGTGCTTTATAAACCAACAGCAGAAATCAAAATCAATTCTTTGTTTGACAGGAAGCCGGTGTAAAGACCTGAGAACCGGTCCTCTGAGGACTCGAGCTGCAGCGTTCTAAATCAGCTTACTGATTGACTTTTTACAGAGACATGTAAAATACCATCCATCCATTGTCAAACCGCTTATCCTGCACACAGAGACACACAACCATTCACACATCTACGGGCAATTTAAAGTCACCAATCAGCCTGATCCCCAGAGCATGTCTTTGGACTGTGGGAGGAAGCCGGAGAACCCGGAGAGAACCCACGCAGACACGGGGAGAACATGCAGACTCCACACAGAAAGGCCACTGGGCGGAATCGAACCCAGGACCTTCTTGCTGTGAGGCAACAGTGCTAACCACCACACCACCGTGCCTCCCCATGTAAAATACATACTTGTTAAATGCATGGACACGTTTTTCCAAATCTGGTTGAGACATAAGTCCTCTAATCCTTGATATAAAATGAGCCTACTATCACCATCAGAATATAACTAGCGGAGGAAAAACGAATAACGGCAGATATCGTCTTTGACCTCGGCCTCAGACCCGTGACAAACTCCCTACGTGGTTAAAGGCAAGGCAATTTTATTTGTATAGCACATTTCAACAACAAGGGAATTTAAAGTGCATCACATAAAACCAAGACATAAAGCAAGGAGATTTATAAACAGTTAAGAACATTGATACATAAAAGAGCCCCCAAAATAGCATCTGTTTTTATTCAATGATTTCCATTGATAAGCATTTAAGCAATAAGGAACTAGAGGCAGTACTTCGTCAATAATGTTACAGTTCAAGGGTGTCGTTAGATCACTACATGGGGTGTACAACACATCCTCAGCGTCTCACAAGGCCGGGGAGGAAGAGGAGACCAGGTCTTCCTCTCACAGTACAGTGATGTACCACCTGGAGAAAACTGAGTCATGAAAATGTCAGTCAGTCATTTTCATCGCGGGGGCAACAGTTCCAGCAGGAAACCTCAGACTAGTGCAGAGATATAAATACGTCCCCTTCTCACTCAGAAGGCAGCACAGGTACGGATTCAGGCTGTTGTCATCTCTCCACCTAGTCCTGGGTCTTCCCCGGCGCCTCTTCCCAGCTGGCCGTGCCTGAAACACCTCCCTAGGGAGGCGCTTACCAACAGAAGTTGGATTGTTAGGTCTTATTCATTTTCAATTTATTTCCGTTAAGAAAAACGCACCGGGACTCTGAGTAGCACCAGGTCGACTAGCGGCCGACAAAGCAAAGCCACGAGAAAAGCACCATGAAAGCCCCCCGTCCACCGCACTCACATTTTGGAGTTTCTACTAGAAAATGTAGACACAAAATTAAAAAAAGCAGCTTACTTGATTATGCCTTACTGTACAGAGAGAGATATTTTACATCTTTAAGTATTTCTAAGTGCTTAGCTGGTGAATGGGAAATGACCCTGCTGTTAAAGACAGGGTCATAAATATATATATTATATTTTGACTATTTCACAGTTCTAAATGTAACGACCGGTAGGTACGGAGGGGCGGTTATTGTCCCTTAGGGATATTAATTCAAGTCAAGTCAAGTCATTTTATTTTGTATAGCCCAAAATCGCAAATTACAAATTTGCCTCAGAGGGCTTTACAGTCTGTACACATACAACATCCTCTGCCCCGAAACCCTCCATCGGCACAGGAAAAACTCCCCAAAAAATGAAAAAGACCCTTACAAGAGGGAAAAAAGGGAAGAAACCTTAGGGAGAACGTCAGAGGAGGGATCCCACTCCCGGGATGGACAGACTACAATGGATGCCATGTGTACAGAATGAACAATGTATAATACATGAGACTATATGACAGGAATGATTCAAGTAATTGTGAGTAGTGAACCAGACGCACAGCAGGACCACTGCAGGGGCCACCACCATCAGATAGAACCACCGTCAGATAGAACCACCATCCACAGAATCCTGTGGGGAGGGAGAGTACAGAGATTTTAGGA